GCTCAGAGGTGAGCTCCATGTCTGAAATCTCCCAGTTCTCAGGGGCAGTGTCAGGATGTGAACATGGGTGTCCTCTCCTTCCTAACTAACACCAGAGATGGAGAAGTCCTCCCTCCCAGGATCTGCTGGCCCCAGGGGAAAATGTCAGGGTAGGGGGAGAGGGAGGTAGCTTGATCTTGATCAAGTGGCTGGATAAAGCCAGAGTGGGGCCAGAAATCCGGAAAAGCCTGGTTTTTCAGCTGCAGGCTTGATAGGAATGTGAAGCCACAGGAACTAAGACAAGTTGCTGCTTCCCATACCCCTCTCCTAGAAAATCTCAGGAAATTTCTGGTCAGGCTTTGGACCTTCACACTTGCCTGTCCCTTACCTCTCTGTCAGCCTCTGCTTGATGCCCTTCCCCTACACCGGAGGCCAGCTCCTTACCCCGGCCACAGCACACGCCAGCCCATGTGCAGTCTGCAGGGCAGGCCAGGGACGGGAGGCCACTGTCGGGAAGAGCCAGCGGGGCACAGCCGCGTTTTTTGCTGGCTTACGATTGTGCTGGAGAGTGTCCGTCCACCAGTTACTCATCTAGGCTGCTACAATCCAGACACCACTTGTTCATGCACTGACATTGTATCATTCAATCCTCATTCATTTACTTCTTCCTCCTGCACTCATCATTCAGTCAACAAAATCTCTTTACTACAGAGGTCATTGCTCCCAAGTGCTGTCTGTCTTTCCTCAGATAGGTGTTCACGGGGCTCCTGGCCCATTTGGATCCTAGGGTTTACCCAGAATTCTAGAATAGCAAGGCTGCAGCCCTCAGAGAACAGCTTGTACCACTGCCTCATTTTGTAGCTGAGGAGATAGCCAGGGGCCACGCAAGGTCAAGACTGTCCTGGGAGGAAAAGTCTCATCTTGGGTTCACAGTCCAGTGTATGAGAAAGATGGGGGTAGGGAATTGTGTGCAAAGGAACCTGGGGGTCTGAAGATCCAGACCCAGCTATTCACTGCCTCTGTCCAAATTGTCATGCCCTGGGCCCCTCCAACTGGATGTCCCACAGGCTCCTCACACTCTTGTTGGAACCCAGTTCCCTACCCACCTGAGGTTCCAAACCTGCTCCAGCCACCACCCCCATGAGTGGCTTCACCATCACCCAGCTGCCAACACCACAGAACTGGGCATCTCCCTCCCCTGCAGCCCCTACATCTGCTCAACTGCCAAGTCCTATTTCTGTAGTCTCCCCAATCTCTCTGGAGCTCTCCTGCTTCTCCCCACGCCTGCTGCTGCGCTGTGCATGAGGCCCAGCTCCTCTGTGGCTGGGCTGCTCTAGACGAGTGACTCAGCTTCTGTGAACCGGCCTCTACACAACTCCACACAGGCCCTCTCTTTGGTGCACGGAGGAAAGAGCAGTAGAGAAAGCCCCTGGGTGGAGTCTGGAAGCTGTGAGTCCCAGCTCTACAAGGTAGCCAGGCTGTTCCACACATGACCTTTCCACCTCTATTAACGTATGGCTTTGATTGCCAAGGTCACAGCCACCATTTAATAATGGCCTTTATTACCTAGTCACACACTATGGCCAGGTGCTTTGCTAAGAACTTTATACAACTTAATCCACAGAACAATCCTGAGGCAGGTGCTATCCTCAGTTTATAGATGAGAAAAGAGACAATGAGAATTAAGGAACTTGGCCCACAATCACACAGTATGTGGCAGTCAGGACTCAAACCCAGGTCTGTGGGAGCCCAAGCCCACAAGCTGCTATGCTGCATTCTCTCACTGATGCAGAAACTTCTGGTAACTGGTACCACCCAGAGCTCGCCATTCCCTGGCAACAAAACCCTTGCTCTTGTTATGCATGGGAGTATCATGAACCTGCTTCCTCTGGGCAACATGGAATAAAAATCCTGCAAAAGTGGCCACAGCTGCTGAATGCCCCACATTCCTCCAGCGGTACCAGGCAGAGTCCAGCTACGCTTGCCCCCCTCACGGGCTGCTGGCTGCCCAGCACTGCTGCCGAGCCTGGCCCAACCAGCTGGCAGACAGCCCTGAGCTAGGCACTCACACACTGGGTCTGTGTGACCGTGGGCTCCTGGGATGGCTTGTCTCCTGGCAAGGCAAGAAGAGTGCCAAGGGGCCGTGTCAGACACGACACATTTTGACCTGGCATAATTTTAATAATGGAGAATTATGACATGAACTATGAAACTCTGGTGTTGAATTAAAAACAAATTAACTCCGGAGGCTACTCGGCAGTTCTGAATTCCAATGAGCCGCCGTTGCCAATGTCAGAGCCGGTGGGGTACAGCACGAGATGTTCTTCAGGAGGAATCAACCCACAGTGGCCTCCCTACTGCCAGGGAACCAGGTGGTAGCCAGGCAGTGGGTGCAAGAAACCCTGGCTGGCACTGGCCAGGCCATCAAAACACTTGGCAGATCCTGACTGGGCCACTCATTATAATGGCTTCAACAAAGTAACAGATGAGGGGTTGGAAAATGACCAAAAGCTCTACCAATGTTTAGATTTATTACACATTAACAGAGAGGCTGCTTTTGTTTTTAATTCCTTTGGGAGGTGAGACTGAGTTCTAACATGGTATCCCAGAGACAGTACAGGCTTTAGCCTAATTCAGGGCTGATATGGGTTCAAACCCTAGCTCCACCCTTGAGGTCTGAGAACTTAGACAAGTTTTGTAACCTCTGGTGAAAAATGCCTTTCCGTCTCACTCAAAATCATCTACAAGGCCCTACATAGACCTGGAGCCTCCCCCAGTCTCTGATCACTCCCCTTCTCCAAATGGCCTTCCTACTATATTCCCTCCACACACAAAACAGGCCTCAAGCCTTTACCCTTGCAGTTTTCTCTGCCTGGAGAGCTCTTGCCCCAGATCTGTAACATCTGCCTCCTTATCCCTTCAGGTCTCCGATCAAATGACACCAATCAGGGTATTTTTTTTGAGACAGAGTCTCATTCTGTCACCCAGGTTAGAGTGCCGTGGTGTCAGCCTAACTCACAGCAACCTCAAATTTCTGGGCTCAAGCGATCCTCCTGCCTCAGCCTCCAGAGTAGCTGAGGACTACAGGCGTGCACCACCATGCCCAGCTAATTTTTACTATTTTTAGTAGAGAAGGGGTCTTACTCTTGCTCAGGCTGGTCTCAAACTCCTGAGCTCAAGTGATCCTCCCATTTCCCATCAAGTGAGAGGGTCTTGAACTCTTTGCCTCAACTGATTCACCTGCCTCAAAGTGCTGGGATTACACCATGCCTGGCCCAATCAGTGTGCTCTATTCAAAATATTAATAGCAACTCCTGCCCTTGATTTTCCTCCATAACACAATCCCATCCAACATGCTAAATATGGCTTATCACCTGTCTCTATTCGCTAGAATTTGAGACCTACAAGGACAGGGATTTGGTTTTTTCCCACTTTGATTTCCCCTTTGCCTAGCAGTGCCTGGCTGGTTTGCTTGCAGAAAAAGGACCCAGTCTTCTGTGCATAAAATCCTACAACATGGGAGGCCAAGGCAGGCGGATTGCTCGAGGTCAGGAGTTCAAAACCAGCCTGAGCGAGACCCCGTCTCTACTAAAAATAGAAATTAATTGACCAACTAAAAATATATATACAAAAAAAAATTTAGCTGGGCATGGTGGCACATGCCTGTAGTCCCAGCTACTCAGGAGGCTGAGGCAGTAGGATTGCTTAAAGCCCAGGAGACCGAGGTTGCTATGAGCTAGGCTGATGCCACGGCACTCACTCTAGCCTGGGCAACAAAGAGAGACTCTGTCTCAAAAAAAAAAAAAAAAAATCCTACAACGTGCCTGACACATAGGAGGCACACTGGAGAGATTAGATTCCTGGGGCTGCTGTAACAAACTACCACAAACTTGGCAGCTTAAAACACACTCTTTCTTAGTTCCAGAAGCCAAAAGTCCAAAATCAAGGTGTCAGCTCTAGGGAAGAATTGTTCCTTGCCTCTTCCAGCTTCTGGCGACTCTGCACATTCTTTAGCTTATGGCGATATAACTACAACGTCTGCCTGTCTTCACGTGGCTTTCTCCTTCTCCCTGTCTCTCCTCAGTGTTTCTTTGCTGAGACAGGGTCTCACTAGAGTGCAGTGGTGCTGTCACTCTCACTACAATCTCCAATTCCAAGGCGTCCTGAGCAGCTACTATTATAAGCGTGCACCACTACTACGCCTGGCTAACTTTTTTATAGTGTCTCTCATAAGGACAGTTATCCCTGGCACTTAGGGCCCACCTGGAAAATCCAAGATGCTCTCATCTTAAGATCTTTAATTTATAACCCTAAAGTCCTTTTTCCAAATAAGGTCACAATGAAAGCTCCAGGGATCAGGATGTGGACATATCTTAGAAACCACCATTCAACCCACTACAGCATTCAATAGTAAAGTATCAAGTCAATTGGAGGCCTGGGGTGGTGGCTCATGCCTGTAATCCCAGCACTTTGAGGCAGGGGGATCACTGAGCCAAGATATTAAAGACCAACCTGAGAAACACAGCAAGACACCTCAAACTTCAGGTCTCGATCAATCCTCCTGCCTCAGCCTCCCAAGTAACTGGGACTACAGGTCTTGAGCTTTTTTTTAATAGCTATGTGACCTGGATTAAGTCACTTAATCACCCAGGGGTCCATTTCCTCATCACTGAGATGGGGAACTGCCCAAACCCAAGCTGTCAGCAGTCGACATGGATACCTTTCTGGACAGTTCCCGGCAGTAGAAGGTGCTAAATAGTTTCTTCCCAGGACTCAGCACTGCCACTAACATGTCATTCAAATTATGGCAGGTTATTTAAAGCTCACAGGATTCTTGTGAGGTGCAAATAAGATATGAAATGTGAAAATGTCCTACAAATTATATAGTGATTTAAGAACATAAAGAATTAAAGAATTAAATTTAAACATTGATAAATGACACATCATGAAAACATGACATGGGAAATGATGTATTGCTGCCACAATCCACAGATTAATCCCTACAATAATGAGATGACAAATCTGGCTTCAAAGATCCTTTACTGAGATCTACTTAAAATATTTTAGTCCTCAATTTGAATAAATTTCAACTCAGTTGACAGGCTAATGGCTGATCCATGTAAAGATTTCATGGTGGCTAAAACATTTCCCACCTATAATATCAAAATAGCTTCCTAACAAATGTTAGTGACTGTCCTCAGGGTCTCTGTCCCATCTTCTTCAGGGTTCGATTAAGCTGGAAGAGAAAGAAAAACAAAGATTGATATGGGTTTTCGCCAATCTTTTTCATATAGTGTGTGTGATCACTAGGTCGGACTCCCAGCTGCCCCTCTGAGGGGCGTCCCTGACGTGGGCATGGGTGTCCACTATGTGTGTATAAAGCCCTGAAATTCACACGGCCCCCTACAGTTCATGCAGATTGTTATTTCATCTGCCTTTCACACTCGACAAACTCACACCCCACATTGCTCTACCCAAGTTATAGACAGGAAAGGGACGTAGAGCAGCTCAACTTGCCAAGGTTACTAGTCCAGTTAGGAGAAGATTTGGTTTTCTTGTTTCATAAGGAACAGGATCCTTGTGAGAAGACAGCCCCAGCCCACCATCCTGACAGATGTGATGTGCACAGCTAGAAAGTAAAAAGAACACCGGGGCTGTACTATGATCCTGCAGGAGTCTGACCTCTGCTGGAAGATAATAGCACCAGAACACAGGGTTCCAGTGGGGGCCACAAAAAGAGAGCCATATCCTTCCAGTGTTTGGTCTGACCCACAAGACCTCTCCCAGGGAAAGATGAAAGAGGCACCAAGTCTGTCAGAACAGAGCTTCCCGTCCTCCAGTCCTCCAGCCTGCTAGAACTGGTCAGACCTGTCTAAGCTGGAGAACAGTGCCAAATGGGGAGGGATGGGTGAGAGCAGGCCGTGATCCACCCATATTAGGAAATATCAGGGAGGGAGAGGAAAGCTGGCCACCCTTAGACAGAGATCTTGGAAAAAGATGCTGCAGAGAAGGCTGACACAGCGATTCCTACAGGCCCAACTCCACTCCCCAAATCCCACGTAGCCAGCCAGTCTAGCTTTAAGTTTGAAACCTAAAGGGTCACTTTCAGGCTTTCTTAAAAATAGAAATCATAAATAAAAATATTAAAACTCCCCACTCAGTTCCTAATCTATCCCCAGCCAACAAACTCTCTCAGACCTCTCACCTCTTCAAATTTGTGGATCTGGCGGATAAAGAAATCCCCATAGCGCCTGGCAACCTTGGTGTCTGCAATGTGGATCATGTCCTGTAGGGAAAAGCACAGTCAGAGAAGAGAAGCAAGATGAAAGGAAGGGGCAGGGTCATCTAATCCATGACCCATTTATGGACTTGTAAATAATGAGGGTACTAAGTGTGAGATAATTCCCTACATTGCTTTTCCAAACAAAGGAGGGGGAAAGGCCCACTGGAAAAGTATTATCAGTTAATAGTAGCTTGCTCTTTCTTTTTTTTTTTTTTTTGAGACAGAGTCTCACTTTGTTGCCCAGGCTAGAGTGAGTGCCATGGCATCAGCCTGGCTCACAGCAACCTCAATCTCCGGGGCTCAGCGATCCTACTGCCTCAGCCTCCCGAGTAGCTGGGACTACAGGCATGCACCACCATGCCCGGCTAATTTTTTGTATATATATTTTTAGTTGGTCAATTAATTTCTTTCTATTTTTGGTAGAGACGGGGTCTCGCTCAGGCTGGTTTCGAACTCCTGACCTTGAGCAATCCACCCGCCTCGGCCTCCCAAAGTGCTAGGATTACAGGCGTGAGCCACCGCGCCCGGCAATAGTAGCTTGCTCTTTCTAAATGGCTGCTTTTATTTTCTTATCAACTTATTTGATAAGAAAACAGTCTTTTCAATGAACATGAATCTTTTGGCAATAAAAATGGTTTTTATTCTCACACACTGTTGGTAAGATTGGCAAATCAGTCCAGTCTTGTTTTGTTTTTAGCTCAAAATACATTGAACATTATTTTACTTATAAAATCTCTACATATTTGAGCTTAAAACCCCCAAGAAAGCCGGGCGTGGTGGCTCACGCCTGTAATCCTAGCACTCTGGGAGGCTGAGGCGGGCGAATTGCTCGAGGTCAGGAGTTCGAAACCAGCCTGAGCAAGAGCAAGACCCCGTCTCTACTATAAATAGAAAGAAATTAATTGGCCAACTAATATATATAGAAAATTAGCCGGGCATGGTGGCGCATGCCTGTAGTCCCAGCTACTCGGGAGGCTGAGGCAGCAGGATTGCTTGAGCCCGGGAGTTTGAGGTTGCTGTGAGCTAGGCTGATGCCACGGCACTCACTCTAGCCTGGTCAACAAGCGAGACTCTGTCTCAAAAAAAAAACAAAAAAACAAAAAAACAAAAAACCCCAAGAACTTTCTTTTTTCCTTTGTTGAGACAGAGTCTTCCTCTGTCGCCTGGGCTAGAATGCAGTGCCATCATCATAGCTCACTGCAATCTAAAACCCCAGAGCCACAGGCATGCACCACAACACCTGGCTAATTTTTCTATTTTTTGTAGAGACGGGGTCTTACTCTTACTCAGGCTGGTTTCCAACTCCTAGCTTCAAGTGATTCTCTTGACTCGGCCTCCAAAAGTGCTAGGATTATAGGTGTTAGCCACTACATCCAAACCCAAGAACTTTCTAAATCTTTTTTTTTGAGACAGAGTCTCGCTTTGTTGTCCAAGCTAGAGTGAATGCCGTGGTGTCAGGCTAGCTCACAGCAACCTCAAACTCCTGGGCTGAAGCAATCCTGCTGCCTCAGCCTCCCGAGTAGCTGGGACTACAGGTATGTGCCACCATCCCCGGCTAATATTTTCTATATGTTTTTAGTTGGCCAATTAATTTGTTTCTATTTATAGTAGGGACAGGGTCTCGCTCTTGCTCAGGCTGGTTTCAAACTCCTGACCTCGAGCAATGCGCCTGCCTCAGCCTCCCAGAGTGCTAGGATTACAGGTGTGAGCCACCGGGCCCGGCCTCTAAATCTCTTTGGTAGGATTTTTTTCAAATTAACGATGAAAAATAAAACAAACAAATAACAGGAAGCATTTTGCCAAAGAGAAACCTGACTAGTAATACAACAGAGGACCAATAATAAAAACATGCAACTATTAACTTAACCTTAATATAATTTCATAGCAAAATTTCACTTGTATAACCAAATTGCCAATTCTTGGGAGAAATGTTTTTTTTTGTTTTTTTGGGTTTTTTCCCCTATGTTTTCCCTGAGCAACATTCAGCTTTGAAAGGGAGAAATGTTTTTTGAAACCATTCAGATAGTTGAGGTTAGTTAGGCTGGGTCACTAAGAGACAATAGAGGGATGTAGCACTTCACTGATATTGTCAAAGAATCTGTATATGTCAGGCATTGAGAGTAAACTCCAAAGGACTGAAGGTAGCTGACACGATCCTGCATAGGCAGGAGAGTTTTGCTTGATTTTTAAAAGAATGGTTTAAAACAACATCAGAAAACTTCCACTGTTGATATATTTTTACTTTGGGTGAGTCTGTCCAAGTCAGGGATAGCTAAGGTCTGCCAAACACCAAGTCTTCTAAAAGCCATAAACTCTAAATGAAGAAAAAGCAAGAGGAACTTTCAAAAACAAACTACCCAAACTGATCTGGCAATTCCTCAACTAGGTATATATCTCAGAATTAAAAACATATATTCACACAAAAACTTGGCTGGGCCCAGTAGCTCATGCCTATAATCTCTGGGAGGCCAAGGCAGGAGGATCACTTGAGCTCAGGAGTTTGAGACCATCCCGATCTCAAGAGTGAGACACCGTCTCTACTCAAAATAACAAATACACGTTCACAGAAAAATTCACACATGAATATTCATAGCATCATTATTCATAATAGCCAAAAAGTGAAAAAACTCAAATGGCCAAAAACTAATGAATGGATAAACAAAATGTGGTGTATTCACACAATGGAATATTATTCAGCCATACAAAGAATAAAAGTACTGATATATGCCGCAACGTGGATGAAACTTGAAAGCATGCTCAGTGAAAGAAGCCAAACACAAAAGGCCACATATTATATGATTCTATTTACATGAAATGTCAAATGCATAGAGACAGAAAGTGGTTTGCCAGGGGATGGGGGAATTGGAAGGGACTGCTATTGGGTAGGGTTTTTCCTTTTGGGGGAATGGAAACATTCTAGAATTAGATAGGGGTGATGGTTGAAAAACATTTTGAACATACTAATAATCACTGAACCATACACTGTAAAACTAAAAATACAGAATATTTAAAAAATTTTCCTTATAGAATCAAAGAGCTAACAAGAGAATAAAAAGTAAAAGAACTATTTAAAGGAAACCAGAAACTATTCTAAGCAAAGCACAAAAGCTGCTTTTTCCATAAGGACATTTGCTAATCCTAGAAAATTTGGGTTGAGGGGCAAACCAAGGCCAGGGCAGTCTAACAGAAAATCCTCATATCTCGAGGGGGGAGAGGGGACAAGGGCAATATACATAACCTTAACATTTGTACCCCCATAATACGCTGCAAAAAAAAAAAAGAAGATCCTCATAATGCTGGGATCCCAAAGGATTTCATTCTCAAGTCATAGGAGAACCAGAAGTGAACTGCCATTCCACTCCAAGCAAATCCTGCCAAGTACAGGGAGAGCTATAAAAGTGACCTATCCCAGAGACCTTACAAACAAACACAAGATGACTCTTAATAGTCTGGAGCCTGGACTTGTCCCCTGGGTGGTCCAGGGGACCTCAGAGCTGTAAACGTAGTTTATGGTGATCTCAAACCAATAATATCCCAAAGCACCTTGAAGTGGCAAAAGTGTATCACCTCTAGAGTAATGAACATTCATCCTAGGCCCGAAGGAATGCTAATAAATAGTTTTCCAAGGACAATAGACCTTATGTAGTAAAATATAAGCATATAACAAAGCACCATACTGCAAGTTAAAAAAAAAAAAATCGGGCAAGCAAGAAATAGAGGTAAAGAGATTAATACGGTATAGGAATATCAATCAAAAGAAATCCCAGACTGAGCAAGAGGGAGGACCCCCCCCCCCTGCCCCTGTCTCTACTAAAAATAGAAAAATTAGCCAGGCATGGTGGCACGCTCCTGTAGTCCCAGCTACTAGGGAGGCTGAGGCAGAAGGATGGCTTAAGCCCAGGAATTTGGAGGTTGCTGTGAGCTAGGGTGACACCACAGCACTCTATCCTGGGTGACAGAGTGCTCAAAAAAAAAAAAAAAAAAAAAAAATCATCTGAACACAGGAGACAAAAAGATGGAATATATGGAAGAAAGGTTTAAGAGACATGGAAGACAGAATATGGTCATCTAACAAACATTAAATAAGAGTTCCAGAAGGAAGAGAAGGGAACAGAAATATCTAAGAGATACTGGCTAAGAATATTCTAAAAGAGACAACAGATATGAGTTCACTGGCTTAATAGATTCTCCTGAGTCCGTATGAGGTTTCCAAACATGTCTGAGAGGAATGTTTCCTTCACTTGTCAACATTTGTCAGTGTATGTACGTGGGGGAGACAAGCAAAAAGGGGAGGTGGTATTTCACACAAACAGTAATTCTAGGAGCCAAGACTATCTTAAGTCTTAGAAAACTCATGTAAGAAAATAAAACATAGTTCTTTTAAAAGCTTAAAATGTCCAGCTTGAATTTAAGATCACAACAGTGAAAACACTGTTCATCAACCTGCCTCTCCTTTCCTCTGAGGAAACCACTGCTATATTGCTTATGTATCCTTCCAGAAACAACTTGATGCATACGTAGGCATATATAAATGTATTACTAAAACAACTTAGATGAACCATGGATAGCCACTCTATAAAAAGTTTGTATTTTCTTTCTTTTGCTTTTTTAGACACAGGGTGTCACTCTGTCACTCAGACTGGAGTACAGTGGCATGATCACAGATCACTGCAGCCTTATTGCAGCCTCGAACTCCTGGGCTTGAGCAATCTTCCTGCCTCAGTCTCCTGAGTAGCTAGGACCATGGGCCACCAAGCCTGGGTAAATTTTTAATTTTTTGTAGTAGCAAGGGTCTTAATAGTGATCCTCCCGCCTAGGCCTCTCAAAGTACTGTTATTACAAATGTGACTTATCACACCTGGCTCTTGTGCGTACTTTCTGTAATAGCCAAAACCACCTAAATGTCTATCACTAGGAGAATGGACAAACTGCAGTACAATAATTGCAGATGTTCAACTATCACAAAGCAATAAGCATGAACGAACTACGGCTACATATAATGACATTGGATGGTGATTCTCTCAATTAAGACATTGAGCAGCCAGGCGCGGTGGCTCACACCTGTAATCCTAGCACTCTGGGAGGCCAAGGCCAGCAGATTGCTCAAGGTCAGGAGTTTGAGACCAGCCTGAACAAGAGTGAGACCCCGTCTCTACTAAAAATAAAAATAAATTGGCCAACTAAAAATATATAGAAAAAATTAGCCAGGCATGGTGGCACATGCCTGTAGTCCCAGCTACTCGGGAGGCTGAGGCAGGAGGATCCCTTGAGCCCAGGAGTTTGAGGTTGCTGTGAGCTAGGTTGACGCCATGGCATTCTAGCCCAGGCAACAGTGAGACTCTGTCTCAAAAAAAAAAAAAAAAAAAAAAGACATTGAGCAAAAGAAGCCAGACACAAAGAGTACATACGGTACAATTCCACTGTATGAAGTTCACAAATAGGCAATACTAACATGGTGTCAGAAGTCAGGATAATGGCTTCCCACTTGCTAAAGTACTTCCAACAGTTTACAGGCACCCATCCCCCTTTTTTCTCCAACCTCATCTACCACAGCCTACTCTCTCAGGCAACTCAGGCATACTGCAGCTGTCCCTCAAACTTACTGGGCTCACTCCTGCCCCAGGGCCTTTGCTCTAACTGCTCTCTATTCCTGGAAGGCTATTTGCTTCACCCAGATACATGGCTGGCTAACTCCCTCACTTCCTTCAAGTCTTAGCTTAAATTTTACTTTCTCAGCAAAGTCTATCCTGAGTACTCTTTTTAATACTGCAATCTCTGCCTTCCACTGCCTCTACCTTTATTCTATAGCGCTTGGCAACTTTCAACCTACTACCATAGTTTGTTGAATTACAATGTCTTTTGTTTATCATTTTTTTTTTTTTTGAGACAGCATCTCACTCTGGGCTAGAGTGCAGTGGCATCATCATAGCTCACTGCAACCTCAAATGCCTTGGCACAGTAATCCTCCTGCTCAGCCTCCCAAGAAGCTGGGACTATAGGTGTGTACCAGCACACTGGCTAATTATTCTATTTTTTGGTAGAGATGGGATCTTGCTATGTTGCTCAAGCTTGTCTCGAACTCCTGGCCTCAAGTGATCCTCCTGCCTTGGTCTCCCAAAGCACTATGAGTACAAGCATGAGTGACCACTCCTGAACTCATCTATCTCACAGCAACCTCAAACTCCTGGGCTCAAGCAATCCTCCTGCCTCAGCCTCCGAGTAGCTGGGACTACAGGCATGCGCCACCATGCCCAGCTAATTTTTTTTTATGTATATTAGTTGGCCAATTAATTTCTTTCTATTTATAGTAGAGACAGGTCTCGCTCATTGCTCCAGGTTGGTTTCGAACTCCTGAGCTCAAAAGATCCGCCCGCCTCAGCCTCCCAGAGAGCTAGGATTACAGGTGTGAGCCACCGCGCCCAGCTTATTTTTCTTTTTTAAACAAGAGAATGGTAGCACCACAAGGGCAGGAATCTTTGTTGATTTTGCTCACTGGTGTATCCCATGTACACGGACAGTGACCAAAAGATAGTGAACCCGGACCACTGCTATGTCCTGTACTTTAAAAAATGTTTCTTGGGACTTCTTCCTTCCTTGCTGTTTCTTGAGGCCCAATAAGATCCCTATACTGTTTTCTGTTTTATGTGTTTATACATTGTGTGTAATAATAAAGAAAGGGGGGGGGGAAGATAGTGAACCTGTTTATAAATATTTATTACTAAACAGATGAACAGAGTGCCCCATAGATCCTAGCCCAGGGTATAGCCATACCTTATCAATGTAGAAATCGACCTCGGAGGCGGACTGAAATTCACCATCTAGGGCAGAGATACCACTGGTCCACACCAAGTTCTTCATCTTGTGTTTGAAGACAAGAAGCTGGATCCGGAACTCCTGCTCTGTGAGGTCCAGGAAGCCTGCCAACTTGGCCACAGGCATGGTGGTGTAGAGCTTAAGGAAGCTGCGGATGGTTGAGAGCTGGGCCTGCTGCTGCACTTCATCAGAAAACACCTTCAGCTGCTGCAGGAAGGGCTCTTTGTGGTAGTTTGGGTGCACGTTGTCATAGTTGGGCACTACAGGTGACAGGAACTTGGGGCAGGAGTAGCTGAAAAGTTCCTCATAGACCTGTGGGTCACCTTTCTGCATGCGCAGCATCTTGTCCCCATACTTCTCCCGTAGCTGGAGGTGAATGCTCTCATCAATACGCATGGGGTACATAGTGAGGGCAATGGCCAGCAGTGCGTGCATCTGCTCATTCTGCTTGTTAATCTGGGAATGAGGAGGAGAGTGGTGTGGGTCAAATGAGATAAATTTCTTGAGGTTCCCACTACTAATGTGGTCCCACTATCCTCCCAGGTGTACTCTGCACAAATCTTCCAACTTATCCTGTTGTCTCATACTAGTCACCAAACTTTCTCGATGCTCTTCCCATCCTCCCTCCAGCTCTACTGAACTTCTGTCCTCTGTCATAGCTCCAGGTCCTCCCTGGTCATCTCCTGGATTCCTTACTGGCAATTCTGTCTTAGTCTCTCCAGTGTACCCCACACATACCACCGGGTCAATCCTTTTATATCAGGATCAAGTTACCTAAAACCTTTGATGGTACCTTGATGCCTACAGAATACAGACTAAATATAGTCATGCGCTTCATAACAATGTTTAGGTCAAGGACAGGCTGCATATACAATGGTGGTCCCATAAGATTATAATACCATACTTTTACCTTATCTTTTCTATTTATATACACAAATACCATTGTGTTACAAGTGCTGACAGTATTCAGTACAGTAACATGCTGTACAGGTTTGTAGCTTAGGAGCAATACGCTGCACCATATAGCCCGGTATGTCGAAAGCTATGCCATCTAGGTTTATGTAAGCATACTCCATGATGTTCATACAACAGTATCACCTAACAATGCATTTCTCAGAATGGATCCCTGTTGTTAAGCAACATAAGACTGTACTTCACTGGGTAATGAAGGTTATTCCAGAGTCTAATATCCCAATTCCCACTCACTCCTCTCCGGCCCTCCCAGCCAAAATGATTTGTCATGTTGCTGCAATACTCAACCCCTTTGCTTATGTTGTTCTCTCTTCCTAGAATGCTCCTCCCAATTAATTTTATGCATGTCTTAACACCATTCATATTGTCCTTACCACCCAGATGTTAATGATCTGAGGTAAAAGACACAACAGAAACTCTTAGAGTAGGCTAGCCTTTAAAAAAATTATGTTGGGGCCGGGCGCGGTGGCTCAAGCCTGTAATCCTAGCACTCTGGGAGGCCGAGGCGGGCGGATTGCTCGAGGTCAGGAGTTCGAAACCAGCCTGAGCAAGAGCAAGACCCCGTCTCTACTATAAATAGAAGAATTAATTGGCACACTATATATATATAAAAATTAGCCGGGCTTGGTGGCGCATGCCTGTAGTCCCAGCTACTCGGGAGGCTGGGCAGCAGGATTGCTTGAGCCCAGGAGTTTGAGTTGCTGTGGACTAGGCTGACGCCACGGCACTCACTCTAGCCTGTGCAACCAAAGCGAGACTCTGTCTCAAAAAAAACAAACAAACAAACAAAAAAAAAAATTATGTTGGAAAAAACCATACAAAATAGGAATTTTCCCCTTTCTTCTTTTTTAACCACTTTGGTACGAGCGTCGACTACAGTCGATAGCCACAGATGAACGTGCACAGCCGAGCATTGACTTTAGCCAACAGCCATGATGTGAAGGCGCACAGCCAAGCAACAACTTTAGGGTTAATAACAAAACTTCTATAACAGTATTCCGAATTGAGGTAATACAACCCTTGTACTGCATCAGAAATCTCATGCATTTTAGAGAAGGACATTTTCCAGCACCTTACAATAGTGATAAAACAAAAAGGAAAAATCCATGAAGATGTACTGTATGCTCAAAAAATAAAGGTGTAGTATTAGATACTATTGTAAACAATGTAATATTGGCCTATGTGTAGCCCCATGCTTTGAAATTTATCATACCAAAGAATAAAATTTACCATATTATTCAAAACTTGCCTTATTCTTTATGATATGAATGAATAAAACTATAATTTTGAATTGACTTTTCTAATTTTTCATTTATCAAAATAAAATTGTGAACATTTAAAAACATAATAAAAACATATATGTATATGTTACCTATTCTGATTTACATTACAAGTAAAGCTGCCTGTAAAATAAAATAAGCTTTCAGTGCTTTAAAGCTTTCCTCATCACACAAGAGCAAAACGGATTTGTTGTCAATGCACAGCACAAACTATCATGCGGACTATGAGTGCCGGCTGTGGGCAAGGTTTCGAGGCCGGTAAGTACTGTTCCGAAGTGGTTAAGAGATGGGATCACACTCTGTTGCTTATGCTAGAGTACAGGGACTATTCATAGGTATGATCCTGTGCATTATAGCTTTCAACTCCTGGCCTGCAGTGATCCTCCTGCCTCAGCCTCCCAAGAAGCTGGGACTACAGGTTTTTGCCACCTTGCCAGCTTAAAACAGCAAAATTTTAGATGAGGTTTACTGAAAATTTGGTATACAAGCCAAGGAGACAGCTGATTAAAAAGACCCCAGGCTGCACACAGAGACCCCTTACCATTTCATACTTATATGTGGTCCTCTGGAACATGCTCTTGGTCCTCTGGATGTAGAGGAGGATGTTGGCAAAGACCCGGATGGCATCTTGGTAGCGACTGCATCATCAAATACGCAAAACCAACATAATAGTATTGGTAACTTGGCACTCTGGCACACGGGAATACATGCTCTGAGGAAGGTGGACAACATCCATGAGTTCCAGTTCATCCCAGATGGGCGTGAAACTTAGTGGGGAAAAAAAAAAAAACTCTCTCTTTACATGTACATGACAGAAACATCAACGTAGTGCCTTTCCTTACAGACAATAATTGATGCCACTGCAAAGGCAAGGAAGGCAGGCACTTTATTTGCAGCTTGAAAAAAAACCCTTAGCAGTAACAACACATTCATATAGTACTTATATCAACAGAAATAAATGAGGGAGTGGTAAGGAGGAGCCACTAACCCCATGTGGCATCTATCTGGCCAGGAGGAATCACACCAGGCACTCAGTGATCCTCACTGGACAGTCTGTTAGAAATAGAAAGCACCTTAAGCTTCTTAACAAGAAAATAGAGCTAAGCAGAGGGAATTATGATTATCTTCAGAGATGAAGAAACTCAGCACAGATGATCCTCATTCACTTCCCATGAGTCAATAGGACTGTCAACCACCTGAAAGTACGTCCAATGAGGCTGACACAGGCCGAAAAGCCAGAGAGGGCAAACAGGGCCAGTGCAGATTGTGGCCTTCACTGTAAAAGGCACTGAAGATTAATTTGAGCAAGAAGGTGCTTTCTCTTTTTCTTTTGGAGACAGAGTCTCACTCTTGGCCTGGGGTAGAGTGCCATGGCGTCAGCCTGGCTCACAGCAACCTCAAACTCCTAGACTGAAGCAATCCTTCTGCCTCAGCCTCCAGGTCAGGAGTTTGAAACCAGCTGAGCAAGACGTGAGACCCCGTCTCTACTATAAATAGAAGATTAATTGGCAACTAATATATATAGAAAAAATTAGCCGGGCATGTGGTGCATGCCTGTATCCCAGCTACTCGGGAGCTGAGGCAGTAGGATCGCTGAGCCCAGGAGATTGAGGTTGCTATGAGCCAGGCTGATGCCATGGCACTCACTCTAGCCTGGGCAAGAAAGTGAGACTCTGTCTCAAAAAAAAAAATTAGCCAGCGGTGGTGGTACGTGTCTGTGGTCCCTGCTACTCAGGAGGCTGAGCAGGGAGGATTGCTTAAGCCCAGGAATTCAAGCAACAGCGAGCTATGATCGCACCACTGCACACCAGCTGGACAACAGAACAAGACCCTGCCTCTAAAATAAAAACTAAAAAAAAGGCCAGCGCAGTGGCTCACACCTGTAATCCTCACTATTAGGAGTCCAAGACGTGAGGATCGCTTGAGCTCAGGAGTTTGAGACCAGCCTGAGCAAGAATGAGACTCTGTCTCTAGTAAAAATAGAAAAGTAGCCAAGTGACTAAAAATAGAAAAAACAAAGTAGCTGGGTGTGGTGGTGCACATCTGTAGTCCCAACTACTCAGAAGGCTGAGTCAGGAGGAATGCCTGAGCCCAGGAATTAGAGGCTGCTGTGAGCTAGGCTGATGCATGGCACTCTAGCCTGGGTGAGAGAATAAAAGTGTCTCTTATAGAAAAAATTAGCCGGGCATGGTGCCACATGCCTGTAGTCCCAGCTACTCAGGAGGCTGAGGCAGGAGGATTGCTTGATCCCAGGAGTTTGAGGTTGCTGTGAGCTAGGCTGACACCATGGCACTCACTGTAGCTTGGGCAAAAAAGCAAGACTCTGTCTCAAAAAAAAAAAAAAAAAAAAAGAATTCTCATAAATCAGTAAGAAAATGTTCAATCTCTTTAGTTATCAAAAAAATGTAATCTGAGATTATCATTTCTTTCCCATCAAACTAACAAAAATTAGACAGACTGGTAATAACCAGTGTAGAAAACAGATGCTCTCAAATGATGCTGGTAGTAGAACAATTTGATACAGCCCACTGAAAATACAATATGTTACTATTTACAAAATTTCAAAGTGAGGTGAGAGCCACTTGCCTATAACCCTAGCACTTTGGGAGGTCACGGCAGGATGATGACAGGAGGATCATTTGAGGGTAGGAGTTGAAGACTAGCCAGAGTAACACAGTGAGACCCCATCTCCACAAAAAACAGAAACATTAGCTGTGCATGGTGGTGTATGCCTATAGTCCCAGATACTGGGGAGGCTGAGACAGAGGATTGCATGAGCCTAGGAGTTTGAGGCTACAGTGGCAGCCTAGGCAACAGTGTAAGACATCCTCTCAAAAAAAAAGAAAAAGAAAAAAGAAAAAAAATGTGATTAAAATGTTCTTTATCTTAATTGTGATGATACATATACATTGATCAAATTGCATCAACTGCATACGTATATCGGTACATTTTACTGTATATAAACTATAGTTCCATAAAGCTGATTTGAAAGAATTTAAAAAGCAAAGATCTTTCAACCAACAATCCTACTTTTAGCTGATGATCCCTAGAAATATACCTATGTATAACACATGCAAGGATATTTATTAATTCACTTTTTTTCTTTAATTTATTTTTTTTGAGACAGAGTCTTACTTTGTCACCCAGGCTAGAGTGTCATGGCGTCAGCCTTGCTCACAGCCACCTCAAACTCCTGAGCTCAAGCAATCCTCCTGCCCTAGCCTCCCAAGTAGCTGGGACTACAGGCATGCGCCACATGCCCGGCTAATTTTTTGTATATATATTTTTAGTTGTCTAGCTAATTTCTTTTTATTTTTTTAGTATAGATGGGGTCTTGCTCTTGCTCAGGCTGGTCTTGAACTCCTGACCTTGAGAGTGATCCTCTCACCTTGGCCTCCCAGAGTGCTAGGATTACAGACATGAGCCATTGCGCCCGCCAATTCACTTTTTATAAACAGTGGCAACTGAGAACCCAAATCATCATGAAAGTGGTATGTCCGTATCATATACACTGCAGTAAAAGAACAATACCCACAGTCCTATGAATACATAATTTAAATGTTACAAGTCATAGCAAATAGCACAACAGAGCATGATGCCTTTTTATGATTTCTCTCAGGCCAGGTACAATGGCTCAGACCTGTAATCCCAGCACTATGGGAGGCCCAGGTGGGAGGATTGCTTGCGGCCAGGAGTTCAAGACCAGATTGAGCAACATAGTAAAACCCCATCTCTACAAAGAATTAAGAAATTAGGCCGGGCGTGGTGGCTCACGCCTGTAATCCTAGCACTCTGGGAGGCCGAAGCAGGCAGATTGCTCAGACCAGATTGGTATCTTTAAAATGCCTGTGATAGAAATGCTTCAGATTTCGAGCTTATTTTTGGATTTAGTAAATATTCATATACTAAAATGAGAGATCGGGGTGGGAACCAAGTCAACACAAATTGCTTGTTTATTACCTGATAGTGATAGTAATGATGTTATCTTTAATAAATAGTGTGTGACGTGAAACAAGGTCGTTGACTGAGCTCACATAGTCAGTGATAAGAGTTTGCCACGTGTGCATCATTGTACGTCGAACACACTTGGTATTTGAGACTTCAGATTTTGATTAGGTTCCAACCTGGTATGTGCTACGTAATACTATATGCACAAAGAACTCTGTATGCCTTGAAAAGGCTACTAAATACTTCTCCCGTATCCAACACATACTGCTGTGGAGGCCAGGTTGCTCTCATACTACTTCAGCTAAACAGTATATTGAACCGGATGAATGCAACGCAAGAAATGAGAATCCAGATGTTCTATTAAAGCCTGAGACCTGAACACCGCAAAATGCTCTTTTCATTGGAAAAAGAATTTTTTGTAGATTAGATGAGCGCTGTGGTTCTCAGATTTGTTAAAAACATTTTGACACCAAAGAAAGTCTGAGAGCAAATTACTAACAAAGGCCCTGGGACACAGGAAGGTTTACCAACGAACGTAAATTTCAATATGCATTGATTTAGTCTTGTCCTCAGCAAACTGCCAAGCCAGTAGCCCCCCACATCGAGCCCTCGGCTATGTTCATATCAAGCCCAAAGAAGGCCAGCAGCCACTGGCCTAAGAGGAGGGACTATCTGCTATACTGGCAGGTATCTACTCATTTTGGAAAGATGGCAAGCAGCTGGAAATCAACAGTGTTCAGGATCAGCTGTTGCACTCACCTCCACTGTTACACCGTCAATGCCGATTGCATGTTGTGATTTTGTCTACCAAGGAATGTGAGGACGTTGGAACATGGTGACTTCCAGATTTTCGGATTGGAACGAAGGAAGTCAACTCCTCCTCAGACTTCTTCGCAGTCTTACAGCGTACTGATAATGATGAACTATTGGGAAGAGGGAGAAGATTCGCATCAGTATAAACCCAGAGTGACAGTTACACATTGCAAACACTGTAAATGAGGCCCGCAGGGCTTGGACAGGGAAGGTAAGCTCAAACAGACCCGATTCGCATTTGAAATCTTTTGGTACAGCTGTTTTATTTTTTTTCAAGAGCAGTTCATGGCATCAGCCTAGTCACAGCCTTCATCTTCCTAGGCTAAGAATCCTACTGCCTTCGCTCCCGGTAGCTGGACGGCAGTGCGTACCATGCCGCTACATTTTGTTGTATACTATATTTGTGTAGGGTCATTAAGTTTCTTCCTATTGTTCAGTAGAGACAGTTCTCGCTCAGCTGGTGTTTCGAACCTAACCTGTGGCAGCATCCGCACCTCGCGGCCTTCCCGAGTGCTAGGATAACGGCGTGAGCCACCATGGCCCGCCGTATACACTTGTTTTTCAAAGCCATCTTTTTTTTTTTAGACAGGAGTCTCACTTTGTTGCCCTAAGTAAGTGGTGCTGTGGTGGTCGAGCGTAGCTCACCAGCACCTCAACTCCTGGTGCAAAGCGGATCCTCTGCTTCACCTCCAAGTGGCTGGGATACAGGCATGTGCCATCCCTGGCTAATTTTTCCTATATATATTAGTTGGCCAATTATTTCTTCTATTGGTATAGTGGGTTCTGTTTTCTCGGTGGTTTAGAATCCTGACCGTCGAACGATCCTATCCGGCCTCAGCCTCCCAGAGTGTGGATTACAGGTGTGAGCCACCGTGTCAGCCGCAAGCATCTTGATTAACTGTAACATTTTTATTATTGAATTTACGTTATGTCACAATTACAGTAACAAATCTCTAGATATAAGTAGTCATGAAGAGACATTCATATTGGAGTCCAGGACAACCTGAAAGTCCTATCTACTGGGAGTCACAATGCAGTTAGCCTGGGCAAGACAAAGGCACAGGAGTACTCTTGTAACAATCTATTCGATACCCTTGTACCATACCAGGCAGGGTTGGTGAGTAATGATGTGGTAGGTATCTGCATATGTTGCCTTTCTACCAGAGGCTGAACACCATTCCCAAGTGCTGGTCACCTGTCACACACTCTAACCACAGGGTCTGGCCAGTGTAGACACACGACAACAGCATGCTATAGAAGTGGGGCAGTGGTTCTACCTGGATTAGTCCTTGGCTGCTCCATCAGTCATGCGCTCATAGTACAGCAGAACTTACCAAACAATCATACTTGTTTTTGAGACAGCTCTTGATCTGTTGCCCAGTAGGAGTGTAATGGTGTAGTCAGTAGCTCACAAGAGTGTTCAACTCCTGGGCTCAAGGAATCCTGCTCAGCCTCCCAAGGTTGCTGGGATTACATGGTGCATATAAACATAGCTTATTTTTCCTTAATTTTTGTAGAGACGAGTTTGTCGTTGCCCAAGCTGGTCTCAAATGTCCTCCTGTCTCGGCTCCAAAGGGCTAGGGAATTAACAGTAGGAGCCCACTGCACCTGCCTCAATCCAATTTTTAAAAGCTCCCTTGGTTGATGTGGTATGTGCAGGTTGAAACCAGGACACCGTAGAATCTACGGCATTGTTAAGCATTGTTCTTCAACTTAAATATTATCTTCTATAGAGTTAGAAAAAGAAGTTTCTGATATTATAGTAAAAATATAATCCAGAAATATTAAAGGATTCTCACTAGGCGGGCGCAGGTGGCTCAGACCTGTAATCCTAGCACTCTGGGAGCCGAGGCAGCGGATTGCTGAGGTCAGGACAAAACCAGCCTGAGCAAGAGCAAGACCCCATCTCTACTATAAATAGAAAGAAATTAATTGGCCAACTAGATATTAGAAAACATTAGCGGCATGTGCAACCATGCTTTCCGTCCGCTACTAATCATCAAATACGCAAAACCAACATAATAGTATGTGGTAACTTGGCACTCTGGCACACGGGAATACATGCTCTGAGGAAGGTGGAACAAACATCCATGAGTTCCAGTTCATCCCAGATGGGCCGTGAAACTTAGTGGGGCCTAGTGCCAGCTAAGATGGAAACATGGAGAGCTTCTCCTGCAGAGGCCCTGAACTACCCAGAGGAAGCTCTGTCTCTGGAGTCAGAGGGTCTAAGAATAGATTGTACTATATATTGTACTATATATGTTTTAAGGCCTCCATTTTCTTAGCTGTTAACAGAAAGGGAATGGACCAGATGACCCCTAAAATCTTTTCCAGCTCTAACACACTGTATACCTCAGTTTTGCTATTTTTCCTTGCTTTTTTCAAATAAGCCCTCTAAAGGACAGGTAACACAAACATGCGCAAGTACACACATGCACATACATGAACCAAACATCAAAAAAAGTATCTGTTTTCCTGTGGCTAGGAAAATCACAACTAATCGTGTATTGATAGATTATCATCTTAGAACTAAATTTTTCATTCTTTAAGACCAGTGAAACTTGAATAGTAAAAAGCTGCCATTATCACTCTCTTCAGAAAACAGAATCAAGGAGTGTAATTAAACCCCAAATCGTCTAGACCCAGAATTTCACTGCAGGTGTTTGTCTAGTTTTAGTCTCAATTTTCAATTGGCCTGTGGAAAAGTCCTTTCACCTCTCCTGGAAATCTGTCCTGCGAAATCAGAGAGTTCTCTGGGAAGATGAGCTAGAGGTAACAGGCAATTACCTTCTTGTTCAGTTCGATATTCTCTAGCACCTTGATGGCCTGGTAGTAATCCCCCAACAAGGAGTGCAGGCGTAGAAGCCCCACCAGGCTGAAGTAACCAAGCATCTTATAGAGCGAATGACGTCCATACTCCCCAGCCACACTCTCAGGGTCACCTAAGAGAGACAGACGCTATGAACCCTTCAGCAAGAGGCAGGTAAAAGAAGGCAAGCCTGACCTCTGAATGTTACTCAATAAACTCACCTGCTGCTAGCCTTAAAGCTTCCTGCAAAAGGAAATAACTCTGTCTTCAAAGGAATACCAATAAACAGCATGACTAACCTTAGGTTAATCTTAAATTCACCAACAGTTGCTTACAGGCTGACAGTTCATTTTAAAATTTTTTCTGGCCACAACACACCTGAGAATATGAGAGGACCTCTCTCATCAGTAACAGTTACTCACCACGGTCCCTCTTTTCAGTAAGTCCATGAGGTGGAAGGTATTTTCCTAATAGCACTAAGATGCTGTTTGCCTTTCTCACTGAGCTGACATTTGCACTGAAGATACGAAACAATGCTGAGTAAAACTACTGTCAACTTAGCATAAATCAGGCAGTTACACCGAACTGTACCAGTAGTCATTGTATTGTTTTCTGCCATGCACTTAAAAGAATCAGTTCCTTTCTTTCATGGAGCACCATTTTTATTTGAAAGAACTGACACAACTGCTTATTCGACAGATATTTTCTCAAAAATGAATGAAGTAAACCTATAATACTTCAATGAAAACAACTGACAGGGATTCCTGCCAATAAAAAATTTGAGCTTTTAAGCAAAAATGAAAAAACTTTATAAAACAAGTTTTCTGCTACTACGAGCTCTACAGCTTCCAAATAAAAGATTTACCTGATGAGGTTGGTCAGTGGCAAAGGTAACAAACGTGATTTTTTAAAAAATTGTGTTAGGTTCAGTGGCTCAAGCCTGTAATCCTAGCACTTTGGGAGGCAGACAGGAGGAACATTTGGACTTAGGAGTTTAAGGTTGCAGTGAGCTACGATGTCACCACTGCACCCTACCTGGCCAACATAGTGAGACCCTTTTATCCAAAAAAAAAAGCAAACAAAAAAGCCTGCATAATAAAATACGTCAACATTTGGAAAATCCTTATAACTCAGTGAACCAATAGTTTACCAAATCACATATGGATGTAAAAGACCCATTCAAATTGCAGGATAGGCTGGGCCCGGTGGCTCACGCCTGTAATCCTAGCACTCTGGGAGGCCTAAGGCGGGAGGATCACTCAAGGTCAGGAGTTCGAGTCCGGCCTTAACAAGAGCGAGACCCCGTCTCTACTATAAATAGGAAGAAATTAATTGGCCAACTAAAAATATATAGACAAAAAAATTAGCCAGGCATGGTGGCCACGCATGCCTGCAGTCCCAGCTACTCGGGAGGCTGAGGCAGTAGGATCGTTTGAGCCCAGGAGTTTGAGGTTGCTGTGAGCTAGGCTGATGCCACAGCACTTTAGCCAGGGCAACAGAGTGAGACTGTCTCAAAACAAAAACAAATTGCAGGATAGACCAATAACTTTAATACAATAAGGGTCACAATATAGTTTCAGATTCCTCACTGCACTTAACCTGTATGAAACTACCACCTGTTTCAAAGAATCACAGATTGAGTATCCTTCTAAAATGCCTGTGATCAGAAATGCTTCAGATTTCAGCTTATTTTGGATTTTGTAATATTTGCATATATAAAATGAGATATCCCGGGGATGGGAACCAAGTCTAAACACAAAATTCGTTGTTTCATATACACCTTATACATATAGCCTAAATGTAATTTTACAATACTTTAAATAAATTCGTGTATGAAACAAAGTTTTGACTGCAACTGCTCACATAAGATCACGTATAAAATTTTCCACTGTGCCATCATGTATGTACTCAAAAACACTGGGATTTTGGAGCACTTCAGATTTTTGAATTAGGGATGTTCAACCTGTATGTGCTACTACATACACGGTATAGCATCAAAGAACATCTGTACTGCCTGAAAAGGCTACTAAAATACTTCTCCCTATCTCAACTACATGACTCTGTGAGGCCAGATTGTCCTCATATACTTCAGCCTAAACAGTATATTGTAACCGATTGAATGCAGACGCAGAAATGAGAATCCAGCTATGTTCTATAAAGCCTGACACTGAAGACACCTGCAAAAATGCCTCTTTTCATTGGAAAAAAAAATTTTTTTAATATAGATAAGCTCTGTGGTTCTCAATATTTTAAAAAACATTTTGACACCAAAAAGTCTGAGAAGCAATTATCTAAACAAAGGCCCTGGAGGCACAGTGGAAGTGTTTACAAACGTAAATTTCAATATGCATTGATTTAGTCTGTCCCTCAACAAACTGCCAAGCCCAGTAGCCCCCACCATCGGCCCTCAGCTACTGTTCATATTCAAGCACCAAAGAAGAGCCAGCAGCCCACTGCCTAAGAGAGTGACTCATCTGCTCTACTGGCAGTATCTACTCATTTGGAACAGATGGCAAGCAGCTGGAAACTCACAGGTCATGGCAATCAGCCTGTTGCACTCACCTCCACTTGTGTACACCTCCAACTGCCGATTGATGTTGGATTTGTCTACCAAGGAATGAAGGACGTTGAGGACACTGTGAACATTCCAGATTTTCGGATTGGAACGAAGGAAGTCAATCTCCTCCTCAGACTTCTTCGCAGTCTTACAGCGGTACTGACTAAATGACTGAAACTATTGAGGAAGAAGGGAAAGATTCAGCATCAGTATAAACCCAGAGTGACAGTTCACATGCACAACACTGTAAATGAGGCACCGCCAGGGCTCTGGACAGGGAAAGGTAACGGTAAAACAACCATTTCGCATTTGAAATCATTTTGTACACTGTTTTTCATTTTTTTTTCAAGAGAGTCTCATGGCATCAGCCTAGCTCACAGCAACTTCAATCTCCTAGGCTCAAGCAATCCTACTGCCTCAGCCTCCCGAGTAGCTGGGAGGACAGCATGCGCTACCATGCCCGGCTATTTTGTATATATATTTTAGTTGGTCAATTAATTTCTTCCTATTTTCAGTAGAACAGGTTCTCGCTCAGGCTGGTTTCGAACTCCTAACCTTGAGCAATCCGCCCACCTCGGCCTCCCAGAGTGCTAGGATTACAGGCTGAGCCACCATGCCCGCCTATACACTGTTTCAAAGCCATCTTTTTTTTTTGAGACAAGTCTCACTTTGTTGCCCAAGCTAGAGTGAGTGCTGGAGTGTCAGCGTAGCCACAGCAACTCAAACTCCCTGGGCTCAAGCGATCCTCCTGCTTCAGCCTCCAAGTGGCTGGACTACAGGCATGTGCCACCATCCCTGGCTAATTTTTTCTATATATATTAGTTTGGCCATTATTTCTTTCTATTTATAGTATAGATGGGGTCTCGTTTTTGCTCAGGCTGGTTAGAACTCATGACCTCGACGATCCTCGCCTCAGCCTCCAGAGTGCTAGGATTACAGGTGTGAGCCACCGTGCCTCAGCCTCAAAGCCATCTTTGATTAAACTGTAAATTTTTATTCATTATTGAATGTTACTTATTTACATTAAGTAAAAATCTCTAGGATTATAAGTAGTCAATGGAAAAACCATTCAATTTGGAGTCCAGGAACAACCTAAAGTCCCACTATCTCTGGGAGTCACAATGCAGTTGACTGGCAAACAAAGCACCAGAGGTACTCTTGTAACAGAATGCAAAAGAAAAAAAAAAAAAAAAAAAAAAAAAAAAAAAAAAAAAAAAAAAAAAAAAAAAAAAAAAAAAAAAAAAAAAAAAAAAAAAAAAAAAAAAAAAAAAAAAAAAAAAAAAAAAGAAAAAAAAAAAAAAAAAAAAAAAAAAAAAAATTTTATCAGATACTCCTTTTTTGAAAACCCATACCACGGCCCAGCGGTTTGTGAAGTTAAATGATGTGGTGTTAGGTAATTTCCTGCATACTTGATGTGCCCCCTTTTTTTCCTACCAGAGCTTTTTGGAAAACACCAAAAAATTTCCAGTTCCTGTGTTCCAACCTTGTTTAAAAAAAACCACCCCAACCTCCTCAACCGACGAAAGGGTTTCCTGGCCCAAGTGTTTTAAGAACCACACACCAAAACAGCATGCTATAAGAAAGATTTGGGGGCAGCTTGGGTTTTCTAAGCCTTGGAAATTTTAAGTCCTTGGCCGTTTGCCTCCATCCAAAGTTCATGCCAAGCTAATAAGTACAAGCCAGAACTTAAACCCCAAACAATTCCAGACTTGTTTTTTTTTTGGAGACCAGGGTCTTTTGAATCTTGTTTGCCCAAGGCTAGAAAGTGGTAATGGGTTTGGTAATCATAGCTCAAACCCAGGCCAGTTTTTTTTTTTTTCAAACCTCCTGGGGCTTTTTTCAAAGGAATTGCCCTGGCCCCTCAGCCTCCCAAAGTTTTGGCGTGGGATTTTACAAGGTTTGGCCATACTACCACACAATAGCTTTTTATTTTTTTTTTCGTAAATTTTTTTTTTTTTTTTGTAAGAAGACGCGCAGGTTCTTTTTTTTTTTTGTTTTTTTCTGAATCTCCTCTTTTCA